TGTAACAAATCTCATTAGACCTTTTATTGTTACATGTTATTTCTGTATATTGTACACGGCAGCACGCTTCTAGTTGTTTCAGTTTATTACTCAAGTTTTATACTAAGCCGTAACAATTAAGATTTACAATACATACAATCTCTGCGATATAAAAGTTGCTTATTTACTATGGAGGAGAATTTATCAAAACTGGAGCCGACAAAATGTGGAGCAGATTTGCATGGCAACCAATCAGCTTCTCTCTCTCATTTTCAAATCTTACCTGGGCAAACTGAAGTGAGATGCTGATTGGTTGCCATGGGCAACTGCTCCAGAATCTGTTTGCTCCAGTTTTGATAAATTCCCCCCTATGAATATTTGTCACATATTGTCACGGTGCACATATGGATATCTGGGTTCACTGTTTGGTATTGATTTATGGTTGGGGTGAGGGTCTGATTCCTGAATGGGAGAGGTCTAATTCCTGAATGGGAGGGGTCTGATTGCGAAATCGGAGGGGTCTAATTCCTAAATGGGAGAGATCTAATTCCTGAATGGGAGGGGTCTGATTGTGGAACGGGAGGGGTCTAATTCCTAAATGGGAGAGATCTATTTCCTGAATGGGAGGGGTCTAGTTCCTGAATGGGAGGGTATAATTCCTGAATGGGAGGGGTCTAGTTCCTAATGAGAGGGTCTAATTCCTGAATGGTAGGGGTCTGATTGCGAAATCGGAGGGGTCTGATTCCTAAATGGGAGAGATCTAATTCCTGAATGGTAGGGGTCTGATTGCGAAATCGGAGGGGTCTAATTCCTAAATGGGAGAGATCTATTTCCTGAATGGGAGGGGTCTAGTTCCTAATGAGAGGGTCTAATTCCTGAATGGGAGGGGTCTAGTTCCTGAATGGTAGGGGTCTGATTGCGAAATCGGAGGGGTCTAATTCCTAAATGGGAGAGATCTAATTCCTGAATGGGAGGGGTCTGATTGTAGAATGGGAGGGGTCTAATTCCTGAATCGGAGGGGTCTAGTTCCTGAATGGGAGGGTCTAATTCCTGAATGGGAGGGTCTAGTTCCTAATGAGAGGGTCTAATTCCTGAATGGGAGCGGTCTAGTTCCTAATGAGAGGGTCTAATTCCTGAATGGTAGGGGTCTGATTGCGGAATGGGAGGAATCTAATTCCTGAATGGGCGGGTTCCTAAATGGGAGAGATTTAATTCCTGAATGGTAGTGGTCTGATTGCGGAATGGGAGGAATCTAATTCCTGAATGGGCGGGTTCCTAAATGGGAGTGATTTAATTCCTGAATGGGAGGGGTCTCTTTCCTGAATGGGGAGCGTCTGTGTTCATTATAATCAGCTGGTGGACTTCCTGTGTTGTAATAAGGCAAGTTGCAGTGTCGGCATCCCTTTAGGAGTAAGTAACCCTTAGGGAGTATCTCATCATTGTCACCAAAAATGAAATTCCTATTGCAGGGGATGCCTAAAATTTTACTTGTATCCTAGTGAAGACTTCTGGGGAAATCAGTCAGCCAATCACAGAACATGACATTTTTGGAGGCGTTCTGTCAACCATCTCTGTACAGAACACCTCCAGGTCACCACAAATTCCTGAATGGGAGGGTCTAGTTCCTAATGAGAGGGTCTAATTCCTGAATGGGAGCGGTCTAGTTCCTAATGAGAGGGTCTAATTCCTGAATGGTAGGGGTCTGATTGCGGAATGGGAGGAATCTAATTCCTGAATGGGCGGGTTCCTAAATGGGAGAGATTTAATTCCTGAATGGTAGTGGTCTGATTGCGGAATGGGAGGAATCTAATTCCTGAATGGGCGGGTTCCTAAATGGGAGTGATTTAATTCCTGAATGGGAGGGGTCTCTTTCCTGAATGGGGAGCGTCTGTGTTCATTATAATCAGCTGGTGGACTTCCTGTGTTGTAATAAGGCAAGTTGCAGTGTCGGCATCCCTTTAGGAGTAAGTAACCCTTAGGGAGTATCTCATCATTGTCACCAAAAATGAAATTCCTATTGCAGGGGATGCCTAAAATTTTACTTGTATCCTAGTGAAGACTTCTGGGGAAATCAGTCAGCCAATCACAGAACATGACATTTTTGGAGGCGTTCTGTCAACCATCTCTGTACAGAACACCTCCAGGTCACCACATTGCATTTTTGACAGTTTTAGAACATTACGGCTGCAGTGTTAAATGGAAAGGTCGTTCCTAATAACATTAAATTACAAAGTGGCTTGTGTAGCAATTCTATGTTCTATATTCTTCTTTTAAAGTGGAACTTCTCTAATGATGACCACCAGGAAAATGTTTTAGGGTGATGAAGAAGAGTTTAAAAGTGGAAACCCAGCTCAGACAGGCTTAGCAGCCAATCAAATATAATATGTAATGTGCCCAAGCGTTGCATCCTGGGAAGGTGACATCAGCAGAGCATTGCTGGGAAATTTCATCTGTAATCTCACGAGATCTCAGGGAAAGGCATCCATCATCCCCTGCCCCTCTATGCCAATCCCTCCACTGGCTTTCATCCCCCGCCCCTCTCTGGCAATCCCTCCACTGGCTCCCAATTGCCCAACTAATAAAATTCAAAATACTAACAACAACATACAAAGCCATCTACAACTCAGCCCCAACCTACATCACCCACCTCATCTCAAAATATCACCCAGACAGTCCTCTCCGCTCCTCTCAGGACCTCCTGCTCTCTAGCTCTCTAATTACCTCCTCCCATTCTCACCTCCCGGACTTCTCCAGAGTGTTCCCCATCCTCTGGAACTCCTTGCCCCAATCTGTCCGCCTATCTCCTACGCTACCCACCTTTACAGGATCCTTAAAAACCCATCTATTCAGGGAAGCCGATCTCATCTCAACAAAACTGCCCTTTTACTTCTTCCAATACCTCAATCTAAACAATTGTTACCTCTTCTATCACTTGCCCCTCTTACGAGCAGGGCCCTCCTAACCCTCTTTTACTGAAACTGTATTGTATTGTAACTGTACTGTCTCCTCCATTTTGTAAAGCTCTGCGCCATATTGTTGGCGCTATCAGGGGTGTGGAAATTTTGGAAAAAACTACTTGTCCAAGGACTAAAGCGGGGGCCGAATCTACTTGTCCCTCATGACAATCTACTTGTCCTGATACAAAAAAAATAATTTTAACCAAAACCGTATTTAGCAGTGCTAAGAAGCGCTTCTCATTGGTCAGTGCTGTCAGGTGACTGCGTTGACCAACGAGTGCTTGCAATTTGCGAGCGAAATTCAGACTGCATGGAACAGGTACAGATACGGGAAGGACCGCTTGCTGAAAGGTAAGTATAGCGGGAGGGAGATTTGTGCGGGTAATTCCATTTTCCCAAATTACTTGGGAAAGTGAATTTACCCTTTAGGGTGTGTGCAGACTCGGGGATTCCCAGGACGTGCGATCGTGTGCGGTTGCATACAGCGGTTGCATCCGCATGTATGGGGTTACATCTGCGTGGCAATCGCTGAAAAAAAGGTAGATGTACCTATTTTCACGATATGCACCGCGCAGTGTTTTCAACCGTGATCGCCCGCGGCGGTATTGCAGCAGGAAAACGCGCAATCTGCCTGGCACGACTGGGGTGCCATTAGAAAATAATGGTACTGACAGCACGATCGGCGGTGGTGTGCGATTCCGTGACCACTCAGCCATCTGCTCGGTTTCATGCACGATGGCCGAACAGTCACAGATCGCACACCCCTGCCAATCGCGCTGGCAGTGCCATTATTTTCTAATGACACCCCAGTCATGCCAGGCAGATTGCGCGTTTTTCTTGCTGCAATACCGCCCTGCCCGAGCGGTTGCACACGATTGCAGTTGAAAACACTGCGCGTTTAGGCGCATGCAGATGGGGACAGGGGGGCTGGTTTTCATTTTTAACATTTTTATTTACTTTGTAAAAATTTTTTAATTTGTTTTATTATTTTTCCTTAATCACCTTTTTTATTTAGTTACACTTTTAATTATTATTTTTTTTTACTTTTTCATTTTAACTATTTTAACAAAAAACGTAACTGTATTGCTATCACACAGGGAATAATAATCCCCTGTGTGATAGCATTTGGAGGTGACAGGTTCTCTTTATTGACCCTGTCACCTCCAACACAGGAGTTCTAGCACAGCACTGTTGCTAGAATTCCTGTTACAGGCTGGGGGAGAGCCTGTCACAGCTTGTCTGTCCTGTCCGGCTTCGTCACTGCTCCACGCCCCTCGCTCCGTCCCCAGTTCTCAGCGCTTCGTCCCCGCCCCCGCTCCGTCCACGCCCCCCGCTCTCAGCGCTCCACGCCCCCCGCTCGCAGCGCCGCTCTCGGCGCTCAAAGAAAACCAGCCCTGCTACTTGTCCGTAGCAGGTCTTAAACAGTGCAAAAACGACTTGCCCGGCGCCCGGAACTACATGTCCCGGGCGTCGGGTGATACAAATTCCACACCCCTGCGCTATATAAATCCTATATAATAATAATAATAAATAGTCACCCGCACTTCAAGGTCAAACATGCTGGACGTTATGTATTCAGACGCTAGGCAATCATAGTGACACAGTGCAAAACAGCAACGTTTCGGAACCAAACATGTTCCCTTCATCAGGCAAACACAGTGTTGTACTAGTCACATGTGACAGAGTTTTAGGAAGTAAAGGGAGATGGATTTATCCGCCCTTAGTAAAAATGGCCGCTGTGAGAAGACTGGGCAAGAAAAAAAAAAACAAGGTATGCAAAGCCGGCAATGATCTAGAAGTATCTGTGTGTAGATTGTCATTCCTAAACATTTCTAAAGGTGTATTTGTTGTTATTTTGAAGATTTGGGTAACATTCCTCTTTAATGTTAGCGATTGGTTATATATTTTTTTGTCATATCTTGCTTACAGACTGTTCTAAATTGGTGCTCGGGTTCTGCCTGGCGAAGGCTGAGCCGAGCAGCTGATGGGCAAACCAACACCACCATGACCACCCCCATTGATGAGACTAAGGACATGACTGCCCCAAATGAGGACACTAAGGACATGACCGCCCCAGATGATGAGGGTAAGGAGTAGACATTTGCAAAGACTAAAAATTAATTTCAGACCAAATGAACAAAAACTAAAAAAAATGTCATTAGTTTCGTGAAACATAACACATTTTTATGTTACTTCGGATTCGGAGTCAACGAACCTCCAAATCTGAAACTGCAAATGTAAAGAAAGAAACGCTCAGCGGCCATATTGGCCAGCGGCGCATTCTGCGCGCCGCCATCCTGGAGGCAGTTCGCTGGATGTTGCATGTTGGGCCTGTTGAGGGCCGCCATCTTGGTATATATCTAGGTATACACTAAGATGGTGGCGCCTATACTGGCATGTGACGTCATGCGCACCGCCTCCAAGATGGTGGCACGCATGCACAGAACACGCTGGTGGCCGATATGGCCGCCCTGCTTTCTCAAACTAAATATTATGCGACCGAATAAGTTTTTCATATATTAAGGCTTATAATAATTCCGATTCAGACAAACCGCCTAACTCCATGCTATTTGGCCGGCTCCATGCTGATTGGATTCCCAGCCAATCAATATGGGGCCGACCAAACAGCATGGAGTTGGCTTCCTGCGCAATCAAGAAGCCAGCTCCATGCTCCATGCTAGTGTCTGTAGATTGCACCTCGAAAGACACAAGAAGTCAGTCACCCAATCTGCATTGTTTTTGCATGGGTTGACCCTGACAGACCCACCGAAACTCAAGACAGTTGAACCCATGTAGATGTTGATTTAAGTGTTCATTTTTTGACTTCTTTCCTCAGACCAATGGTCCCAAGAGGACATGCTCACTCTCCTGGAAACAATGAAGTCTCTCCTGCCAGGCCAGGATAGCAGTTACTTCAAGACTACCGAGTCCCACTTGGACTGGAACAAGCTAGCCTTCAAGAACTACACCGGGTCCATGTGTCGCCAGAAGTGGACAGAGATTGCAAACAAGGTGGGGGAGTGACGGGGGGGACTGAGGGTGTCCTTGCCAGTGCCACATGGTGCCAAAATTTGTGTTTTGGGTGACATAGAAGAATGAGGGACCAATCCAGCCGGGGTTGTTCTCCAGAACCTGGAAGGACGGTATTGAGTGTCATATTTGGAGGGCTCCGGGCTCGCAGTTGTAAAGCAGATTTAATAAGTGCTTGCAGCGCGGCTCAGCCAAGCCGATGCATATGCGTTCGGCTCGACTGAGCCCCTCAGCCAAGTTCGGGAGCTGTAGGGCTATAGTGAATAGCCCGTACAGCACCCCGAAGGGGTCCTGGGGCCGAAGCTAGCCGAAGGATCGGCCGAAGCTACGGCTAGATCCTTCGGCAGCTTAGTGAATAGAGCCCTTTGTTTTCTTAAGAAAGCCTGTTCCCTGCCAGCATGCTGTAGAGAGGGACCCTCCCCATGTGTGTGGAAGCACTGGTCTCTCTGCTGTGGTCCGACATTTCCCCCCTCCCCCGAGCCGTATACACAGCTCTTTAATCAGAAAATCAAATGATCCCTGCCGATTGGAGAGCTCTGACTCAGCAGGGGACATGTGGGACCTCTGCAGAGAGGCCACTACTTCCACACAAGGGAGCAAGGGCCCTTCTCAACCGTATTGCTGGGTGCTCAGAGTATTAAGAAAGCTGCTTAAAGCTTTACAGATGCAATGTGTCTGCTTTGTAAATGCTTGCTGAGTGTGGTGGTGGGCTTGAGTTTATAAGCTAAGATTAAAGGGGATGTGCAGTAGTTTTTTTCATTTATTATATTAGGAGTGAAAAAATATGTATTGCATATTAAATTGCTGTTACTTCTTTAGCAGGCGCAGCTGGCACTCTATTCTCCTTTTCACATGGTACCTATTTCAGCTTTTATGTTTGCATAAAGGAGAACTATGGGGTTAAGTCTTTTCCCCATAGTTCTCCTTAGGGTAACGGGAGGACACAAACTAGCGTCCTCCCGTCACCCTAGGCTCAGTATACTGCGAGCTGTAGCTCCCTATATACTGAGACGCCGCAGCTGAAGCGGATCCCGACAATTGTGCCGGGATCCACCCAGCTGCGTGACTGACAGCTGGCTCTGCCTATCAAAAGGCAGAGCCAGATGTACCCGCCCCCTCCCCCGTCCGTTCCACCAGTCAGCGCTGGCGGATCGGAGCGGGGGAATCCAGCCCCTCCCCTGTCACGGCAGAGAGCCGTGACAGGATCGAGAGGTGAGCGAACGTCGGTATGTGTTCGCTCACCTCCCGATCTACTGAGCCGACCTGTGACAGTCTCATTGTCACAGGTCGGCTAGAACTATGAGGTGAGTGAAAATCAATCACCTCATAGTTCTCCTTTAAGGAGCCTGGTTGATTACAGAACTCCAAACTCAAGCTGAATTCATTAAAGGAATAAGTCATCAGGCAGCTTAGTCCAACGTTTGACTGAGCTGAGTTTAAATCCGCTATTCTGGCTCTTAGGATAACACATAGTGCTCTGGGAATCCTTTGTCATTAATGCAATCTTTATTTATAAAACCATGATTATGTAAAGCTGTAAACAATAAGTCAAGGCAACTGGGCTTGCTGTATTTTTCTTGAAGACGTTTCACTGGTCAACAAACCAGCTTTCTCAATTCACAATTGAGAAAGCTGGTTGGATGAGCAGTGAAACGTTTTCAAGAAGAATACAGCAAGTTCAGTTGCCTTGACTTATTTTATACAGCTATACCATGACCTGGATGAATGAGAACCTTCACAGACACATGATTATGTAAGTTTATATATGTCAATAAGCTTGTGACCATTGTGGTCATCTGGATATGACTGAGCCGAGTTTGAGCCTGCTATTCTGGCCCTTTGGTTTTCACATAGTGCTCTGGGAATCCTGTGTCATTAATTCAATGTTTATTTATAAAACCATGATTATTTAAGTTTATATATGTCAATAAACCCATGACCATTGTGGTCATCTGGATCTTTGACTAACAGTGCTGTCTAGTAGAATCCTAAATCTAAATGAAAACACTCTGCTGAATACCCTTTTATTATGGGGGGCTACAATGACTTTACATGGTCCCGCTGTTTATGGTATGTAGCCACCCTTCTTGGCGCATCCCAGATATGAACTACATTCGCACATGCCGATCCAGCGTTGCCACTTATCAGCTCTGAAGTCCTCCTATTCATCTCAGCCCAAAAGTCCCAGTGGGTACTGTGCCCAACCTCAGTCATATACAAGATGTGGGCCTTACACGAAGTGCCTCCCTCCTCACAGCATTTCATTCATTCCATAATTACAGGTAACCCTAAATGTAATAATACAAACACATAAATTATCACTTGCAGGTCAGGAAGTTCCGTACGCTGACTGAACTGATTCAGGACGCAGAACAACATGTGAAGAACCCATACAAAGGAAAGAATCTGAAGGTGAGCAAATCAATGACAACATGTTCCATTGGTATCCAAGAAGAGTATCTTGTGAACCTTGCGTCAGATCCTGGAGGATGCAATTAATACTCAGTCTATGTCTTCCTTGTCATCTTTCAGAAACATCCAGAGTTTCCCAAGAAGCCACTGACCCCCTACTACCGCTTTCTTATGGAAAAGAAAGCAAAATATGCCAAGCTATATCCAGAGATAAGCCACGCGGACTTCACCAGGATCCTGTCTAAAAAATATAAAGAGTTACCAGAGCATAAAAAGGTAAAGGAGCACAGCATACATTTGGCATCGGGTGATCCGTGAAAGTGAGATGCATGGCAGACCTATACCCATGTGGACAGTACCCTAACCATCCTCTCTGCTCCTCCCAAGACGTCCTGCTCTCTAGAACCCTCATCAATTCCTCCCACGCTCACCTCCAGGACGTCTCTAGAGTCGTTTCCATCCTCTCAAACTCCCTACCCCAACTTGTACGGCAATTTCCTACTCTGCTTTTAGGAGACCTCTGAAAACTCATCTCCTCAAGGAAGCCTTTCCCACCTCAACCACTGAACTATTGCTTTCTGCCGTGGGACCAGGGGTGCCCTCCTACCTGGGAGGCAGCGGAGATTGTAGGGTCCTTCTTGGGGTGACTTGGTGCACGGCGGCAGGCTGCGGGTGCGCACATGAGCGCATGCGTGACGTGCGCATGTGGCGCTGACGTGGCTTCTTAGTCGCTTCGGGTGCTAGTCATTGCCAGGGAGTGCCTTGCGACCACTCCCTGTCTCCTAGCCGTACCATTGGTTCCCAGGGACCCGTGGCTTCCTTGTTGGCCAGACAACGGGGGCGTCACTGGCCCTTGCTGGGTTTAAATTTCAGCCAGAGGCAAGACTTGTTGCCAGAGTTATTCTGCCATTCCCAAGGCAGATATGACGCCTCATTTCCTGTTTCCTGCCTTCCTTCCCTGCTATTTGGATCTCCTGGTTATCGACCCCTGGCCTGTCTCACCGTTTATGATACTCGTTGCCTGCCTCGACCCGGACTGTACTCTGACAAAGCATTTTCAATCATCCTATCTTGTACCTCAGCCTGGACTCTCCTTCTGGTATTGTTCCCTGCTATTGGGTTCCAATCCAGCAAACAGGGGGACTTCGCTCCTACCCTAACACTTTCTCAAACAACTCATTCCCACACAGCTACCACCTATTGTATCACTTGCCCCTCCCTTTTAGATTGTAAGCTCTAAATATTTTTAAACAGCTAAGTTAAAGCCGGACTGCAGCCTTACCGTTAATTCCACACTTGCAGCAAGTCCCCCCCCTGTGTTGAAACTGAATAATCTCAATTCCCTGCAAACTAGCATCTCCACCGTATAACCCTTTAAACAGGGGCGTCCCGAGGCTGGGTGACACCCGGAGCGGTAACCGATTGTCAGCCCGCCGATAAAAATGCAGTAGCTTTCTTGATCCCTCCTTAATTACAATCATCATCAATCCCCTTTCCTTCTCATCTCTACTATTGTTGGCCTGCCTCTAACAGCCATTAGCTTTCTCTGCCATGAATAATGGCTCCTCCTCATGTGGGGCCAAGATCTTTAAGGCTGGCACCAGTCAATGTACTGCTGCTACCCAGCATTACATGAAAGAATTCACCCCCCCCCCCCCCTCCCGCACCTTTAGAGAGACATCCCTTTAGAAGTGCATCCCTGCTGGCCACTGGGTGGTGCAGACTTTAGCTCAACAGTCTTCTGATCAGTTGCTTGATTACAGAAGTTAGAGTGTAACTGGTCAGCACATTCCACAGCTAAAGGCTGCAGAAGCCATTGGCCAGCAGGGATACACATCTAAATGGATGCACCACCTCATGTATCACTTGCCCCTCCTTTTTAGAGGGCCCTCCTTACCACCTTGTCTTGAATTGTATTGTAATTGTAATGTCTTCCTTATATTGTAAAGCCCTGCGCAAATTGTTGGTGCCATATAAATCCTGCATAATAAAAAATAAAAATAATAATAATAAAAGTAAAATGTATGTTCCTATAACGGCATGGTGTTTTCATGTTTCCGGGAGTTTGCTGGCCCCTCCCACCAAATTCAATCCTACTATAGAGCAAAGACTAGGAGAAGGACCAAGTGATGATATCACTTGGTCTTGAAAGGCTTGTTTCTTGAAATAATAATTCATAATTGGAATGGAATGTATTATATGTGTACATTACACTTCAGCTTTAAAGAGTTTACATGGAGATTTTTTTGTTTTTCAAGGCATCATACATTGATCCAATTTGTAGCTTCAGATGAAATGTTTCTTTAACTGTTACTTTTTGAAGGTTGCATGACCCAAGATCTCATCTTGTCTTTCCAGATGAAATACATCCAAGATTCCCAGCGAGAGAAGCAAGACTTTGAAAGGAACCTGGCAAGATTTAGGTGACTGTGGTTAACTTACCAGTATCATTTTACTGAGTTGGGTGGCATTGCCTAATTTTCCTTTCTGTATACAGGGAGGGGCACCTGGGCCTCTGGCAGAACACAAAAACATTGGACATCCCAGAAAAGCCCAAGACCCCTCAGCAGATGTGGTATGACCACAAGAGGACAGTCTACCTTAAGCAAAATCCTGATGTAAGTGTAAAACATTGTTTAGAGAATGAGTCTTTGGGCAACTATTGACATACAGGTGAAACTCGAATAATTAGAATATCGTGCAAAGTTCATTTATTTCACTAATGCAACTTAAAAGGTGAAACTAATATATGAGAGAGACTCATTACATGCAAAGCAAGATAGTTCAAGCCGTGATTTGTCATCATTGTGATGATTATGGCTTACAGCTCATGAAACCCCCAAGAACCCCAAATCCACAATCTCAGAAAATGAGATTATTACATGCAATCAATAAAACAAGGATTGTACATAGAACAATATCGGAAAGTACAAGCATGCATATGTACTCAGTACTTGGTTTGGGCCCCTTTTGCAGCAATTACTGCCATTACTTTTGCACGATATTCTAATTATTCGAGTTTCACCTGTATTATAGGTAACAATACTAGGAGACTTAAAGGTCTTGTGTAATCAGTGTGGTGGGTCCAGATTGGCCATGACCCACAGGGATTTAATTAATGGTCCTTTGTACCAACTGAAGAAAATGTGTCTAAAACCAGCTCGTGTTTTGGATAGTTTATCTTTTTTGTGTGTGATTGGGAAAAGTGTTTCGACTGAAGGGTGGAGAGAGGGGTGAGGTCAGGGTACACGAGGAGTGGGAAGGATACTGAGGGGTTACTGTGTGAGAGGGATTAACATGGGGGTAATGAAAGCATGTTAAGGGGGTAACTAGAAAGACTGCTTGAATCATGTCAAAGGGGGCTGTGGGTAGAGGGAGTTGAGTATGAGAATGAGGTGGGGTGGTGGGAGGAATCAGGTACAGGGTCCTAGAAATCTAAAAGCTGTATGCTGATGTGATTTTTTAGTCGAGAGTTGATCAGAGAGTAAAGCTTTGTCTTTGATTTCAGGCCAGCACTAAAGATGTGAAGGACGTTTTAGGAAAACAGTGGTCCCAGCTTTCAGATAAGAAGCATCTAAAGTGGATTCACAAAGCACTTGAACAGCAGAAGTTATACGAGGTAATGGTGCTCACTCCAGCCAAAACTTTTTTTATAGTGTGGGGGAAGTGTAATAAACCTGTTATAAGTCCACGCTAATACAACCTAAAAGAGACATCAATAGAAGTTTGCAGAGAGACCAATATTTAATGTCCTTAGATGCCCCCGAGGATGTCTGGACAAATCACGTAGGATGGAGATTTAGGCACTGCATGAAAACATGCTGCATATACATGATACCGTGGAGGAAAGGTCACTTCCTTAGTGCCTCATATTGGTGTTACCGCAGCTGGAAGGGGTTACGAAGACAGGAAGAAACCATGAAACCTTTGACACTGCCTTCCTTTGGTGACTTCCTTTGGTCATCATAAAAAAAGCCTCCTGCTGTGGAGAATAAAAGATGGAACCTGATTGGTTATATTGGGGACGGGGTGGACTGTTTCCGGCCAGTTGTGATTGCAGAAGTAGTTTCTCAGTTTTCATTACATATTTTCATTCAATATCCTGCTTTTTACAGAACGCAATGAGAGAGTTCATTGAGAAGCACCCAGAGGTGAATATTTCAGAAGAGGACATCACCTGCTCTACACTGACCAAGGCAGAACGTCAACTTAAAGACAAGTTTGACGGACGGCCAACTAAACCCCCACCGTAAGTTCTTAGCGCTGAGTTTGGGGTTTTCCTGCACAGCGGATAGATGATTTAAGAATAGGTGGCAAGGGAATGTGTACCAAACGTCCCCAACAGCGCTTCAATAACAGCTTAATATCTTAAACACAACATAAATCTTTATGGTTGCACTGGCCGCAGATCCTCAAGTTTATGTGGCAGATGTATTGGGCACAGTGCATGAACCCATCGCACTCAAAATGTTCCATATAAAAGATGGGTGCTGCGGCAGTCGACAGTTGGCAACTGTCTATAATCACAGAATCACATAGACACCGGCACTCCAAGTAATGAATCAATGGCGTCTGTTTATTGACGCATGAGACATAGCACAATGCATTAAAAAGCAAAGTTTCAGGGTCTCACAAGATCCCCTTCATCAGGCAAAATGAGTGATGAAGGGGATCTTGTGAGACTCCAAAACGTTGCTTTTTGATGCATTGTGCTACGTCTCATGCGTCAATAAACAGACGCCATTGATTCATTAGATGTATTGGGCAGAGACTATCAGCGAGCCTGTGTGTTGCATGAGAGCCTGTGCAGCCGAGGGAGTGTCTGATGTGTCCAGTCAGTACTGCAAATGGGAACGCTGGCGGGATTCTTTATTTGAATGGCAACTGTACATCATTGTTGGCCTGACCCCGGAAATCAATTACAGACAGGGAACTGGCAATGTCAACTGATTGATGTATAATATCCGGTAACTGAATCATGAGCATATGAATATTGCATGTAAATTATATGAAACTATTCAAAGAACATTTTGATTTTTTACCTGGAAAAACACTTTAAAAGGAGCTGTAAAGCCGCAGCATATCCTCTCCTGTTATGACATCAGCATTGTAATAGGAATACATAGTAGAGTTGTTTCTATTAATGCAATTAAAGCTTACATTAAAAAATCCCTTTGATGTAGTGAGTGGGGCCTTCCATCTGCCCATCACTCCCAACAACTTCCTGGATTCCCAGTGTGCTTTGTATCTCTTTCCCTGCTGCTTGATGCGATTGAATTATTAAGACTACATATCCCATCATGCACTGCTTCCAGCCAGCAATGATAAGGTTACATTGTTCAGATGTTGGGTTATAGTTCAGAAGGCCGGCTCTGTGATAGAGGTGACATAAGGAAGTACATATTTACAGGGTTGAGTGAAATGGTGTCAGTGCATTGAGGAAGTCCATCCTATGGGCATGTTCAATAAGTAAGTTTACAAACTTCTAGATGGATATGGTTATTCGGAGTGGGGGAGAACAAATGGAACTTCAATCTGTTTTTGACCATAGATACCCTTTAATACACAAAAAAATGATGTGTCTTCTGTCATTTTTAGAAGGGTTAGACATTTTCTGTGCTGCAATAAATACTGAAGGGTTTTATAGGAGAACATACCGTATTTTGCGGTCCATAAGACCATAGGACCATAGGACGCAGGGAGGTCCGGCGCGCCTTATGGAGCACTCGACAGACCGTAGCTTCTGTCACAGCTTCTATGATAGAAGCTGTGACAGAAGCTGCAGTTAGTGACCGCTGAGACAGGTGGCGCTGTGCTTACAGCGCCACGGTCTCAGTGATCACACAGAGCAGACGAAGAACCTCCGTTCTTCGTCTGCTCTGTGGTGATCTCGATCGTCGCCGCTGCTCGGTTTTAATACGAGTGATCTCATTAGATCGCTCCTATTAAACGAGCAGTGGCTCCTACTGCTGAACTCGATCGCCGCCGCCGCTGCTCGGCTTTAATACGAGCGATCTCATTAGATCACTCATATTAAACTAGCAGTGGCTCCTACTACTCGCCCGGCGCCCGAAACTGCATGTCTCGGCCGTCGGGATTCGCTCTATAAGACGCAGGCACATTTTCCCCCTCCTTTTGGGGGGAAAAAAGTGCGTCTAATGGAGCAAAAAAGACAGTACATCAACTGGGGGTGAATCTGACCATTCTAAGTTGATTCGAGGTTCTGGTTCTGCTGGGCATATTTGTGCCAAAGAAAATGGCACAATTCTTGATCAGCTGGAGTTGGGATCCATGACTTGCGCATTTCTCTAACATCCATTGAGGGACACAGGAATTCCGTAACAGTCGGCCTATTCTGCCACCTACAGGAGGTTGTAAGCCAGCCAACCTATAACCCCTCCTTACCCAGGATGTGTTTTCCTAGTGTACTGAGACAAAAATCTAATTCCTACTCCTACTGCTCGAGCTGGTCTCACTATAGCAGCTATCGGGATCTGTGTTTGCAGAAGCAAAAGCTTTGGAGGCCGTACCTGCACACCACTGGATTGGACATTGCAGGGCTAGCCCAGAACCTTCAAGTTGTATGACGGGTTATATTTAATAATCCGTGTACCCATTGCACTCCTTACCGCTAATCCGTAATGATAGGTTGGGTGCATCAGTAGTCGACGGATGGCCACCGTCTGAATAGAATATAGGAAATTATGGACACCGGCACTCCAAGGTAGAATAACGTCTCTTTATTGACGTTTCATGCAACAATACACTTATTGCAACGTTTCGGGGTCACACAGGATCCCCTTCATCAGGCAGAACAAGTGAGGTTATATTTAATGCCTCGGCCTTTCTTCCCCCCAACAGAAATAGCTATTCCATGTACTGTGCAGAGCTGATGGCCAGCTTGAAGGATGTGCCCAGCAAAGAACGTATGGCGCTGTGCAGTCATAAATGGAAGCTGCTCTCTCAGCGGGATAAAGATGTTCATCACAAGAAGTTGGAGCAGGTAACCTCAAAACTTTGGTGGTCTCACATTTTTGTGATTGGGGGACCCAGCTAAAAAACAAACAAAAAAAAAAAGCAGCTGTGAGATGTCTGCTGAATCTGCCTTATAGCTTTTCAAGTAAAAAGAGAACTATGGCCAAACCTTTTTTGTGGTTAGTGCTCTTTTGGGTCACAGGAGGATATTTACTACTGTCCTCCTGTGACCCAAATCTATTGTCCACTATATGCTGACAGTGCAGAGCTGTGCTGCAGCCGGGAAAATTCCTGACAATATTCTTGGGATCCTCCCTGCTACATGATTGACAGCTGGCTCTGCCTCGCTAGAGCCAGTGCCAGCTGTGCCCGCCCCCTCCCGTCCCAATGAGTACTGGAGGAAGGGAGAGGGCAGGGGAGAAACCCTGACTGACAGTCACCGCTCTCTGCAGGGAGATGCCATGAGGTAAGCTCAGTAAGATCCCTGGTTTGTGATTAAGGATGAGCTCGGGCGTGTTCGCAGCTCCACGCGCCGAGCCCGCCAGGAAGCTGACAGCGTGCAGCGCCAATCACAGGTACTGAAGCATTTTCTCGGTCCGCGGCAGAGAGCCGTGACAGGATCGAGAGGTGAGCGAACGCCGGTATGTGTTCGCTCACCTCCCGATCTAATGAGCCGACCTGTGACAGTCTCATTGTCACAGGTCGGCTAGAACTATGAGGTGAGTGAAAAGCACGCCCCTCATAGTTCTCTTTTAAAGGGATGACTTGTACCTGGTTATAGAGTATTTGCACTAGAAGCAAATTAAATCTGTGGGAGTTGACTGGGAATGGGATTTCCACGTGGTCATCTGTTGCTGGGTGGGAGGGGCTAGACCAGCATGTAGTCAGAGGTAGTAAAGCAATATATTGTATGTGTCGGGGTGTAAAAGGATCTGGTTGTTGGTTACACAATTACATCAAAGTACATTTGTTGATCCGTTTTATCATTTTGCTCTGTGCAGAAAAAGGAAGAATATCAACTGGAACTAAGGCGTTTCCTTAAGGTGAGTCTGGTTTTGCTCTTACATGTGCTGGTATGCTGCAATCCATCCTATAGAGACCAGCACCATGACTGCGTGTTTCAAAGCTTTAGTTAATTCTGCTAACATTTTGCCTGCCCTGGTTCCTCCCTCCCCCATCACCAACATGCTAATAAAATGTGTAAATACAACTTTTTATTTTTCAATACATACCATAGTTTCTTTGCTTCTCTATGCAATGCAGGCAGATCATGGCGGGCAGAAAGGGGGCTGCAGGGTGCTTCCTGAAAACATCACAGAACCCTGTCTCAGTACTTCTCTCAAGAGCCCTCTGCTCTGATGCAAGCAGTGGGCTGGCTCTTGGGAGGAGTTATGCAAATATCCAAAATGCCTTGATGGATGAATGTCAGTTTAAAGGAGTTGGCATTCCTGAGCAGGCTGTATTTGCATTAAGACCGCCCCAGCTAATTCCCACATGTGATGCTGAGCCTCTATCATTGAAAGGACTAAAATCCATTGAATGAAAGGGGCGGGCCAGGGACAGTCAGGCTGGAGAGGAAGGGGCTATATGATACTGGATGTCCTCCAGCCAGGAAATTAGGCGGGCTATATCTGACTTCCTGCAGCTTCTAATGCACATTGTGAGAAGCTCCCAGTGTGCAGTGACATCAGAGGAAGCCATTTCAGTCCAGAAGAGGAGTCGGTACAACTGTGCAAGACTGAAGGGAAGGCCGGAGGTCAGCAGTAATAATGTGCGTTTTTTTACTTCTGTAGACTCTTCCAGAGGAGGAACAACAAAGGGTTCTGGCAGAAGAAAGGATGGTCGGCCTGAACAAGAAGGTACTGAGCAGCCATGCATCAAAGTTGGCAGCCCAGGAAGCAGCAAAGGTTCGGCAACGAATTTAAAGTAACGTTCTTTCTGCATTTTTTCATTTTGTTATTTTTTATTTCAAGTTCTTTCTATTCCGATCAATTGTTCAGGCCGAGGACAGATCTGGAAGAAAGAAAGCAGCAGATGAGACGAGTAAACTTCCAGAACCAGCACAAACGGCTGAGGAAATTTGGCAACAGAATGTGATTGGGGAATACCTCGCCCGGTGTAAGGTAAATAGGAAATGTTCCCATATCAGCGTTGTCCTCGTCTAGGGACATGTCACAGGAGGCCAACGACAAGAACACCCAATATCTGCTCTCTGTATTTATTGTTTTCATTTAAAAAGGGTCAAATGTACCAATGATCACAATGTAGTCATGGTAGAAGAGGTGGTATAAGGGTCAATATCTAATAGGTGTGATCGTTGCCTGTCCCTGGACCATAATCCACCTCCACTGATCTTTATTTTCTCACTCTCTTTCATTCTCACTTTCACATTCTTCAATGATCTTCATTCATTGCTGTTTGATCTTTCCTGCTTTTGTTTTTGTACCCCCCCTCGCAGGGCAGCCATCTGATTGGGGGTACGGCCGATACTCATGTAAGGGGCCCGGGCAGTCTGGGGGGCCCGCCGGGGTCCTTTACATGACTATTGGCCGACGGTGAGGGGCGAGGAGGCGGAGGCCTGGCCCTAGCAGCGCAGGGCCCCAGCATTGCCGCTCATTCCCACACTCTCACACACTTCTCTGCCTCTCATTCCCTCTCTATCTGTTCTCCCGTTCTATACCCCTTTCTCTCTAACTCACCTCTCTTCTTCCCCTTGTGTTGTCTCTAGGGTTGCCACCTAGAAACCCGAACACTTTAGCGACGTGCAGACATTTTTTTGGGAGAACAAGTCATCGCTTATTCATATGTAAATAGTGCCGCCCATTCATATGTAAATATAACAGTCAAGACTATTTTCAGGGGGGGGCCAGTAGCCCCTATCTTAATTTTGATTGCCCCTGTCTGCCTGACATCTTGTGTCCGGGTTTCTGCTGCCATGAAATCTGGACACAGTATTCAAAACCTGGACTGTCCGGGTGAATCCTGGATGGTGGCAACCCTAGTTGTCTCCCTTTTTTGCTCTCTCTCCATCTTGTTGCCCTCCCCTCATCCTGTTTCCTCTCTCTCTCTCCCTCCTTCCGTCTCTTTTTCTCTCTCATCTTTCTTTTTCACTCTCCTGCTCCCCCCCTATTCTCTTCTTTCTCTCTTTCCCTCCCTCTCTCTCTCTCTCTCTCTCCCTCCTCTTTGCCTTGTCTCTCTATCTTTCCACTTTTGTATTTTTTTAAAAGAAAAGATCACCATACACGTTTAGATTTCTCTCTCTTAACCCCACGAGAAACCACTCGATTCCCCCATTCCCGCTAAACTGCATGGATGAAGGAATCTTCCCTGAAGGTCATTGTATGCTGACATCCGACAGCTGCGGCTCTTGAATACCCGAACAGTCACAGCAGTTGATTTGTTGCAGACCCTGTTTAGATGATAATTTTCCACCTGACTGCTTTGTTTTTGTAGCCGACTTTTGCGGAGTCAGGGGGTGCCAAATCTGAGCTGTGTATGGCCAACCTAACTCGTTCCGTTATGTGTGTTCCGTAATGATTTCTAAAGTCTGAATTGGTTTGTATTTATTGAACCAAAACGTAGTAACCCATTGTCACCAATCAGAAATAAGCTTTATTACGCTGTTTACATTGTATCTCTTGCTACGTCTTACTGCACATCAATGATTTCTGCACTGATTATAAATGAACTCAACATTAAATATAATTATGACTGAACTAGAATGAAAATTCTTACAAGATATTATTGAATTCCAGAATGACCAAGCCAAAGCCCTGGAGAGTATGGAGATCACTTGGATGAAGATGGAGAAGAAAGATAAGATCATGTGGATTAAAAAGGCAGCTCAAGATTATAAACGATATGAGGTATTAAGAGATAACATGGTACGCAGTATAATTATCTAGAGGGGTTCCAAAGGCCCCCCATCAATGGCTCCCCTTCCTGCTTCTTTTCAGAGAGAGTTAAGCAACATCAAGTCAGCTTCAGCCACCACAACTGGTGGCAAGAAGGTGAAATTGGAAGAACCTGATCAAGCTCCAATGTAAGGTCGTACATTATTACTAACTTGTGTTACCCAAAGAAATTGTGCTTTTTTTCTGAATAAAAGATCCTAGACATAATCCAACAGGAGACTATACCAGGTGCACTGCCGCAAAGGACCCTAAGGTCCAGGGGCCAATATGGTGGTGCAAGGGGAGGTAAGTGGCCTGGATAGCTAACACAGTGGATCATTAGGGCTTCTCTATAAAGGGGCTCTTTTTAAGAGTTAAAGGAGAACTATGGGGTCAGGGCTTTTCCCCATAGTTCTCCTTAGGGTAACGGGAGGACACAAACTAGCGTCCTCCCTTCACCCAAAGCTCAGTATATAGGGAGCTACAGCTCGCAGTATGCCGAGACGCCGGAGCTGAAACGGATCCCGACAATTATGTCTGGATCCACCCAGCTGCGTGAGTGACAGCTGGCTCTGCCTATCTAGAGGCAGAGCCAGCTGTACCCGCCCCCTCCCACGTCCGTTCCTCCAGTCAGCGCAGGAGGATCGGACAGGGGAGGGGGGAATCCATACCCTCCCCTGTCACGGCTCTCTGCAGTGACAGGATCGAGAAGTGAGCGAGCGCCGGTATGTGTTCGCTCACTTCCCGATCTACTGAGCCGACCTGTGACAGTTTCATTGTCACAGGTCGGCTAGAACTATGAGGCGAGTGAAAAGCACCCCCCTCATAGTTCTCCTTTAAGGTCAGGTACATTGGTGCCAGAGACGCCGGCCATAGCTGGGCGGGGAGATGATGAGATGAGTCTCACCAACCTCTGCTCCCCTCGCCCCTCCCACCCCCCTTAGGGTGCACCATCAGCATGCCCCCGCCTCATTCCCCAAAAAGGCTAGAGACACCCCTGCTCTTTGTTGTCCACGTACATTTTTTGGGACATTTTTTGAAAAAACCCCTCCCTCACCTACCTCCAGCATATAATATATATATTTTTTTCCTTTAGTCTGTCATCTCAAGAACAGATGAATTCTAATGTGAGTATGCCAGCTTGGAAAGAAAAAGCCTTTGGTATGTCGGGGAAGATCAGGCTTATTTTGCACATTTATCTTGTCTTTGCAGAAGCGCAAGAGTACTACGAAACTGAAAAGACCCAACCCCAAATCCAAGGTAACCTCTCAGAACAAATCTGTAAGTGTTTTTGTAGGGAGAGTTCTGTTCACTTCGTGTTGTAAAGACATAACAGGAAATGAGAGTAAGTATTTATAAGAGAGGGGAAATCCCCCACAGTTATCACCAGTACAAGTGTCCCCAATGGAAGATCGCCCTCGTGACACCCATAACATTTTTCCATCATTTTCTGCGCCATTGACAAGGACCAGCTCCCGATTCGTTCCAGAACTTAAAACTTTGCAGTCAGGGTTTGGCTGGAGATGCATTATAAAGATCAACTCCACACAAGATGAAGTAAGGTCATAGCTTTGTACGCAAGCATGCTTGTTAACTCCTATCTCGTAGTGAAAAAGACAGCAGGGATGGGGAGGGACTTGGTTTTTAGAATAGGTATCTGTGAAGTATTTAGTACTGACCGCTATGTTCCCTTTTGGCAGAATGAAGAAAAGGTGGATGATGACGATGAAGAAGAACCTCCTCAGGAGATTGATGTGACTGATGACTGACTGATGTGTTTAAAGTGTACCTGTGTCCACTATACTGGAAGCAGCCATTTTTTTCTACTATCCTATTCTTGATCAGGGTCTTGCCACCTAGGAGTGAGGAATATCCTTTAATTAACAACCCGGAGGCAACCAGTGATGTCATCAGTGCTCAGAGATCCAGGAGGCTGCTTTACACTGAGACTAGCTAGTCCTTGTCTGTGCTAACCAGCAAGGTTTGGATCAGCCACATAGCCACCCACATGTAAACTCATTCACAACTTCAATTCATATATCATGATGGGTGTTGTAGGTTGTCCCAACGACACCGCTCAGTGAACGGAAGCGATGTTACAATTTGCTTCATACCTCCCCTGGTTCCCCCGGCTGTAGCTGTCCTTTGTCTAACCAATCTACTGTATGTTGTTGCAGACTACACAAAGGTAGTTTTCTCACTAACTAGGAAGTTTTAATATAAAAAAAGTTATCACATTTGTATTGAATATATATGACGGGTGATACAAGTTGACAAGTATCCCATGCTTTGCTTTATTCCCCTGTTGCATGAACCAGTTTAGCACTTGTGTAGTACTTTGTCCACTTTTATATTTGCCACCTGTCTCAGCGGTCACTGAACTGCAGCTTCTGTCACATAAACCCTGTCACAGAATGCCTGCGTCCTATAGAGCGGAACGCCTTATAGAGCGCAAAATACGGTAGTTGAGAATTACTATTTGCACTTGTGAGCAAAGCAAACTTGCTCATGTTCTGATATAATTTTTTACACTGTTCCGCTATGTATAATATCCATTGAGGATGAAACACATCTTGATTTGAGAAGGGTCTCCGTTTTGTCCAAGCGAGTAAGCATTTACAACGGTGCAGTGTAAAAAACAGTGACTTCTCCTCTTCCCTCTACTTCCATTTCCTACAATTCCCTTTTCCCTCCTACCCCCTTGCTCTCTCCTGTTCCTCTCCTGCTTCGTACGGAATACTCTTCTTCAAGTTGGACTGCTATTCTAGGGAAGTAGGAATGTCCTTCATATATTTTAGGTCCCTCAGGCAACCAAGAGAGCCTTAGGCCAGGTCACCACCCTCAGAGCCTTTACCCTGAATTTACAAATAAAAGCAAAACAAAAAGCACCAGGGACAACCACTCCTTTGAAGGATTTAGTAAAGGTGCATACTGCAGGATGCTGCCCCACTTCAGCCAGGGAGACTGTGGTATCTGGAAAAATGTACAAAAAGGGGGCGCCTTCCCTAGTGCAGATACATTTTATTCAGGTACAGGCAAACAGTAAAAATGCTACTCACAAAAGTCAATAGATGTAAGCCTTAGGACCATGAACCAGGATAAGGCAAATGGAAGTAGGCAAGACAGTTCCTATGTGCCAAAGAAAAAATTGCCAGCGTTGACGCGTTTCCGGGACACGGTAAGTTCTGACGAAGGGGGCGTGCCCTGGAAACACGTCAACGCTGGCAATTTTTTCTTTGGCACATAGGAACTGTCTTGCCTACTTCCATTTGCCTTATCCTGGTTCATGGTCCTAAGGCTTACATCTATTGACTTTTGTGAGTAGCATTTTTACTGTTTGCCTGTACCTGAATAAAATGTATCTGCACTAGGGAAGGCGCCCCCTTTTTGTACATTTTTCCTTTACCCTGACGTTGCCTACCCTACCATCAGCATCCCCAGATGGGTCCAACCTGTCAAACCATAAAAGGATTTAGTTGTATGCCCATCATTTTCTATGCCCATAGATACCTGAAGTTTTATAGGAAACCCTACTTCTCCTCTGTTCATATTTATATGTATTTCTGAACCGTTGTTCATCTTCTGCACATGTTCAAACAGATTTTTTTTGATGTTTACATTTGTTTACCAAAAATGAATAAAAATGTCTTAAGTAAAAAAGTTGACATCTTCACAGCCCTAATGCATATGAGGCAGCCATTGCTTGAAGCTAATTGCTTAAAAGGGCCTACATAACAACAGTGGTGAAAAGTGTTATTCTTCATATTAAAGGAGAACTATGAGGGGTGGGGGGCTTTTCACTCACCTCATAGTTCTAGCCGACCTGTGACAATGAGACTGTCACAGGTCGGCTCAGTAGATCGGGAGGTGAGCGAACACATACCGGTGTTCGCTCACCTCTCGACCCTGTCACGGCTCTCTGCCGTGACAGGGGAGGGGCTGGATTCCCCCCTGCCCGCTCCGATAGCGCTGACTGGTGGATCGGACGGGGGAGGGTACAGCTGGCTCTACCTCTAGGTAGGCAAAGCTAGCTGTCAGTCACGCAGCTGGGCGGATCCCGGCACAATTGTCGGGATCCGCTTCAGCTGCGGCGTCTCAGTATATAGTGAGCTACAGCTCGCGGTATACTGAGCCTAGGGTGACGGGAGGACGCTAGTTTGTGTCCTCCCGTTACCCTAAGGGGAACTATGAGGAAAAGACTTAACCCCATAGTTCTCCTTTAATGCTTGGGTCCTTGTGAAGTCCCTTGGTCCCCTGGCTGGATATAGTGGGCCTCAATTTCTTTTCACAAGGTTAAACCCCTCCTCCATCACTGAATTCAAATACAAGAGCTTCATTTGGCAGTAGGGGCCCAACATTTACTGCTGAATAACTGAACCCGGGAGCTTATTCTCAACATGGAGAGAAGTTGAGGCCATGTGCTCAGCCTAAGCCTAGGACCCATTGGAGGAGTACTACAGCGGCGTAGGGATTGATTCGAAGACTACAACTGGCCATACACCTGGACATTTTATTGAAGGATAGAACGTCCAATTTTTGTTTCCTTTCCAAAATTGACGAGCAATGGAAGACCTACAATGGTGTTTTTTTTCTCAACTGAAACTGTCAATTTATTCCTCAATTATGACTTCACAAACGACCGATTTCTGGTGGTTGATAAAACAGGTGGACTTCTTACTTTTTGTTGATTATTTTGATTCCTATCAATTCCTAGAGGAACAAAAGTGTTTAAAGTTAAATGAGAAACAATTGCCACATGTATGATCTAATTAGTATTTGCAGGAGATGTGCCTACACCTGAGTAATGTTGGTACCCTAAGAACATTGTAGGCCCTCTCAGGTTCGTTTTTTGAACTTATAGACCGCACTTGCTTCAATGTTAGTCCATGTGACAAAATGGCTTCCAGTTCCTCAGCTGTACAGGTGACTGTAGCACTTTGAGCCTTGATTGAAATTACACAAGCCCTATAGACATTGTACTGGCAACCTCAAGTCACATAGTCCTTCCCCCACTTTTCTTGTTATAGCAGTTGTGCAATGTATGTAAATATCACTGTATAGTTTAATAGGCACAAAAGATTGACCACACTGTCCAGTGCGCTCTCTAATCTAAGAGACCTGGTCAGACAGGCCCCCTCTCTTTCTTAGCAATC